ATAAAACTTGTTTATTCTTCCTCAATACAACTTTGTAATGCACTTAATTTTTACAGTTACACACACAATTCACAACAATTCACTCACTTTCTATCGTGCTTAGACTTAATTGTCCATCCCCGCCAACTATAGTTCCGATCTCTGTGTCTGCTATCCTCAGTTCCCACCAACCATAATCGCCGTCTTTCTTTCTCTCTGCCTGCTTCGTCTCCGCTACGTCTCTGTCTCCACTACTGCTTCGACTCCGTCTGTCTCTCTTACTGTCTAGCGCACTTATATACGATAATACTGCCTGTTCTAGAAACTTCTAAGACCCCGCTGTCGTAACACACTAGCGAATCTTCTAGAATACTCGTCACGTGACCCCCACTGTCATAACACTACTTTACAAAGGACAGCCAATCTGGTCATTGCTTTACGTTTCATGTACTACTTTACAAAGGATAGCCAATCTGGTCTTTGCTTTATGTTTCATGTACTACTTTACAAAGGATAGCTAATCTGGTTTTAACTTTACGTTTCAAGTACTACTTTACAAAGGATAGCCAATCTGGTCTTAGCTTTATGTTTCATGTGCTACTTTACAAAGGATAGCCAATCTGGTCTTAGCTTTACATTTCATGTACTACTTTACAAATTATAGCCAACCTCCTCTTAGCTTTACGTTTCATGTACTACTTTACAAATTATAGCCAACCTGGTCTTAGCTTTACATTTCATGTACTACTTTACATAGGATAGCCAATCTGGTTTTAGTTTTATGTTTCATATACTACTTTACAAAGGATAGCCAATCTGGTCTTAGCTTTACGTTTCATGTACTACTTGCAAAGGATAGCCAATCTGGTCTTAGCTTTACGTTTCATGTACTTCTTTACAAAGGATAGCCAATCTGGTCTTAGCTTTACGTTTCATGTACTACTTTACAAAGGATAGCCAATCTGGTTTTAGCTTTACGTTTCATGTACTACTTTACATAGGATAGCCAATCTGGATTTAGTTTTATGTTTCATATGCTACTTTACAAAGGATAGCCAATCTGGATTTAGCTATACATTTCATGTACCATTTTACAAAGGATAGCTAATCTGGTTTTAGATTGAAAATGTAATCATAGTTAAAAATCCCCTAATTATAATACACAATTCATATAAGAATCTTATTATAATGAAAAGTGCAACAGGGTAACACCTACTGTTGGTTTTCCACATGAGTAGCACATCCTCATAGTGGACCATATAGAGGACAGCTGTAAATATTATGGCACTCAGTGCAGCACTGGGAATGTACTTGAAGAAAGGAGCCAGTTCAGCAAGGGCAAGGATCACAATTACACCTACAACAAAAGAAATCTATCTATATAACTCCCAATAGAAATCTTCAAAAAAATGTAACAGCCACACCACATACATCAAATATTTAACATTTATCATTATACGACCTGACTGACTGCCTTCTAGGTCAAAATGAACTTTGTCAGGTTGAACCTAGTTTGAATCTTCAGATAAGAAAATACTTATCAGATTGAACTTAGTTTACGTCTTTAGATGAAAACCATGAAACTTAATCAGAATGTCATTTATACTTTTAAATTAAAGATAAATTCATCAGATTGAACCTAGTTTGCATCTTAAGATGAAAATCTCATTCATCAGGTCGAACCCAGTTTGCATCTTTAGATGAAAATCTTGTTAATCAGGTCGAACACAGTTTGCATCTTTAGATGAAAATCTCATTCATCAGATTGAACCCAGTTTGAATCTTTAGATGAAAATCTCAATCATAATATTGAACCTAGTTTGCATCTTTAGATGAAAATCTCATTCATAAGATTGAGCCTAGTTTGCATCTTTAGATGAAAATCTCATTCATAAGATTGAGCCTAGTTTGCATCTTTAGATGAAAATCTCATTCATCAGATTAAACCTAGTTTGCAGCTTCAGTTTATTAGTTTTTACTTCTACCAATGCTAAGAATATATGTATTCTCTGTTTTGACTGAATCCACTAATAACAACCCAAGATAAACACTGTAAGTCTTGCCCTTCATACAAGTACATCTACATAATCTCTGAAGCTCATATTCAATTGTAAATAATAAGTACAAATTAAGTTCTTACAATTCTTCATCATCATCATAAATGCTCTGATTATATTTTGATATCAACAGAGAAGATTCAACGTATTATAAACAACATGGATGTAACCTGTTCTATGTCAGTAGATTCAAGATATTATAAAGAACATTGATGTAACCTGTTCTATGTCAGTAGATTCAAGATATTATAAAGAACATTGATGTAACCTGTTCTATGTCAGTAGATTCAAGATATTATAAAGAACATTGATGTAATCTGTTCTATATCAGTAGATTCAATATATTATAAACATCAAGGATGTAACACCTTCTGTATCAGTAGATTCAAGATAATATAAACACCATGGATGTAACCTGTTCTATATCAGTAGATTCAAGATATTATAAACATCAAGGATGTAACATCTTCTATATCAGGAGATTCAACATAATATAAACACTATGGATGTAACATGCTATATATCACTAGATTCAAGATAATACAAACACCATGGATGTAACCTGTTCTATATCAGTAGATTTAAGATATTATAAACATCAAGGATGTAACACCTTCTATATCAGTAGATTCAACATAATATAAACACTATGGATTTAACATGCTATATATCACTAGATTCAAGATAATACAAACACCATGGATGTAACCTGTTCTATATCAGTAGATTCAACACATTATAAACATCAAGGATGTAACACCTTCTATATCAGTAGATTCAAGATAATATAAACACCATGGATGTAACACCTTGTATATCAGTAGATTCAATATATTATAAACATCAAGGATGTAACACCTTCTATATCAGGAGATACAACATAATATGAACACTATGGATGTAACATGCTATATATCATTAGATTCAAGATAATACAAACACCATGGATGTAACCTGTCCTATATCAGTAGATTCAACACATTATAAAAACCATGGATGTAACCTGTTATGGTATTGTTCATAATGAAAAATTGGTGTATTAGAAATCCTTTATATAATTATTTAACATTTGGAAAGAAAATCACGTGCTTTGAAGTTATTAAAGATTTAGATATTAAAATATAACATAAATGTGTAAAAAAAATCAATACACTAAAATTAATTCATGAATTTTGTTTAAACACAAAGAATTATACTATATTTCCATTTTATCCAAATAAAATATTTATGAGAATTTAGAGAAATCTTGATTCTGATTTAGTTTGTTTCATTTGTTTATATGCACCATTATCTCTAGCCGTAGATAACTTAGAAGTGATATTATAGAGGGAAGGCAGCTACTCAACAACAGCCACTGCCAACTTCTGAGCTACTCTTTTGACAACAAAAAGTGTGATTGACCCCTCAATGGCTGAGAGGGGCAGCATGTTTGGTGATGGTATTCAAACTTGCAACCTACAGATTGTGAGACATGGTTTTCAAACTTGCAACCTGCAGATTATGAACCATGGTATTCAAACTTGCAACCTGCAGATTGTGAACCATGGTATTCAAACTTGCAACCTGCAGATTGTGAACCACGTGTTAAAACTTGCAACCTGCAGATTGTGAACCACGGTATTCAGACTTGAAACCTACAGATTGTGAACCATGGTATTCAGACTTGAAACTTACAGATTGTGAACCATAGTATTCAGACTTGAAACCTGCAGATTGTGAACCATGTTTTTCACACTTGCAACCTGCAGACTGTGAACCGTGGTATTCAGACTTGAAACCTGCAGATTGTGAACCATGGTATTCAGACTTGAAACCTACAGATTGTGAACCATGTTGTTCACACTTGCAATCTGCAGATTGTGAACCGTAGTATTCAAATTTGCAACCTGCAGGTTGTGAACCGTGGTATTCAGACTTGAAACCTGCAGATTATGAACCATGTTGTTCACACTTGCAACCTGCAGATTGTGAACCGTAGTATTCAAACTTGCAACCTGCAGATTGTGAACCGTGGTATTCAGACTTGAAACCTGCAGATTTTGAACCGTGGTGTTCACACTTGCAACCTGCAGATTGTGAACCGTAGTATTCAAACTTGCAACCTGCAGATTGTGAACCGTGGTATTCAAACTTGCAACCTGCAGATTGTGAACCGTGGTATTCAGACTAGAAACCTGCAGATTGTGATCTGTGGTGTTCAAACTTGAAACCTGCAGATTGTGAGCCAAGATATGAGTAATATGAGCTTTATACAAAGTAATTGTTACAAGAACAAATATAATATTTGGATTTACTCATGTTTTACGGGATTTTTATTTCTAAACAATACCTTAATTTCAATTTGTATCCAAATAATCATAATATTCAAATCTTGTGCCTCACTGCTTTCCTATCAAAGAATGAATACTAATGTTTAAGGAACAAACACAAGTTTATTACAAACTGTACATTAAAAGTCTTATCACTAGGATAACATACATTATCAATGAAGTATCTTGGAAGGTAAGAAAAACTGTAATAATTGCTAAATGTTAAAATATTAAGAAAAGGTAATATTTTTGGAAAAAAAATTAAAAGAAGAAAAATATGTTAATTCTAGAAATAGGCAACATTACATATTCAGCGTAACTATATACAATCATTACATAAGTTTATTTATTAATATGTTGCATATATTCCAATATGCACTACAGAAATTAAATAAATAAATCAAATTTTATTTTCTTACATTATTATTCCATTTGTTGCATAATCTGAAATGTATGTTTTTCAAAGTTAATATATATACTGGAGACCTTAAAAAGTCAACATTTTCATAAAATCTTACCTGTGAACAAACCTCCAAGTGGGGTTCTCACTCCACTATTGTTATTTATTGCAGTTCTAAAAAATCAGGTTTGAAAAACTGAATATCACAGGAAATAAAGGATGCAGAGAAAACAAGACATAAAATCTGATAATCAAACACTTGTTTGTTTAATAAATAACATCCAATAATATTAACATTAAAGATGTTTCTTGCAAGATTGCTTTCCTTAGTGACATGGAAATATTAATAACTTCTAACACTAAATATTACTATTCAATAAATTCTTAAACTACAGAACACTATATTTTATAATACAATGCAACAGTTTTCAGTCATGAATACTGAGTGGATATCTTAATCTTTCTGTAATATGTTATGGGATTTATTATCACTGGAATATTATTTAAACTTCACACGTTTAGAAAAAGAGAAACTTCTCTTAAGATTTTTAATGGAAAGGTATTGGTGTAAATGACATACATCTCAATGGATACTGTAAACACAATATTACATCATAACATGAGAATCTAAACCATACGAACATCATAATTAACAATATGAACATTTTTAAACAAGTGAATTACTTTCTTTTATAAAGAACTCATATCATTATCAAAAGAATAGATTATTTTCTTATAAAGTAATATACAAAATTGTAATTGTTCATAATGTAAGACATTACCTTGAAAAACTTCCAGTTGCAGGATAGGCTGAGACAAAAGACCCTACCACATTACACACACCTGTTAACAGTAAAAAAAACGTACTTAAAATAGGGCATGTTTTACAGCTCAACTTACATATACAAAATAAGACTCATTATGGTATTGTTACGACAGCGGTAGTCACCTGATGCTAGTAACATACCATGATATTCTCGAAGGTTCGTGAATGCTCGAGTGTTTACTAGATGTGCAGTATTCTTGTATATAAGACC